GCATAAGGGCCACAATGTATTTTAATTCATCAATTTTTACTGCTGTTACATTTACTATTAATTTTCTTTGCCACAGTTTCATTTAATTCATTTAATAATAACTAAGTAGGTACTGTCATAATGTTTTTGACCCTTTTTTGTGAGGTCTGAGTAAGTTGCCATCATATTCCGTACATGCGCACTTTCATAATTATCATCTCTGCCGTGTCCCTGACCTTCTCTCTCGTCTTGACATTTTATTTCCGTAATTTTCCTAATGACACGAATATAGATAACTCTATGTATTCATTTCACCGCTTCGTTGATTACTTTAAGGCTCCTTGGAAGTATTTTAAGGCCAAACAGAGTAATTTCAGATTTAAAATTTAAAATTTTATAGTAATCCGACTCCCTTAATAATCACGTAGCCCCTTTACCTCGCAGTTGACAAAATACCTGACAATATAACACGTCACATTAATTTCTGTACTAAAACATTTTTTAGACCCATATTTCTTAGACTCTTGGCTTTGTATCTTTGTTTCATAAATTCGTGTATTTTTGAGAGCAAGCTTTTGAAAAACACTAGAGTTTCCTGAAGTCTCGTCGTACCGCTTCGCTCTCGATCTTCAGCCTGCACCCGTTTTGTGGTCTCGTAATTATCATTAACTGGTGCTCGACACCGTTTTCCTTTTATACAAAGGCGGTCGTAACCTTCGTTTTTGGTAGGAAACCTTCATTTTTGCAATCTTTACTCTCATCACCGACGTTGTCTGTAATACAAAATTACAGTGATGGTTATGATAAACACCAATTTCGCTGGTAATTCTCTTTCTGTGATTTCTTCAACTGAGTAATTTAGATAATTTTAGATAACAATACTCAAATCGAAACATTATGTTTTTTTCTAATGTATCGTTTGAAAGTGAAAATAAATAAGTGTACGCATAATCCGAATGTAATTTATTTTACGTTGAAAGTGGTGATAAAATCGAGAATAGTTAATCGACTATAATTATAACTTGATTGATGTCGAAACTTTTCGATTAAATGCTTAAACTATGGCAATTAACCCACGTTTTATAACATAACAAGAAGTTTTGCTTATTTGCAATGAAAATGTAGCAAAAGAATTTACAATTTGCAGTGATGTTGAAAAGTGCCGTGGCAGTAATTATGCGACTGTGAGACCGTGCAAATGGCAGCTCCTTCACAAATATATGAGAGTATTCTCAGTTTTCTTTTAAGATGTATTCTTTCACCGTTTTGTTCAAATAAAAGGAAATTTTAAATTATGCCTAGAATTACTTTCAAATTAATGTATTATTCTTTATTTGCAAAGGTTATAAGTAGATCATTATTTTCTTATGTTTATTGTACACAAAAACCCTACAGGAGTATATATACACTACTTTTTTTAAATCGAAATTTAAACCTCGAAAAAGCTGGTAGTAATCATCAAGTCTTAAGCTCCAATAAGGGAGCATTTCTAAATAAACTATTTTGGTAGATTAGGTACCTATCAAACTTGATAAATGTGGGTATCGAAAATCGGATACAGTACAGCCTATCGGGGTTAAATCGGTAGGTTCAGTGGTCTAGTTAACTGTTATGACGATGTTTGAGATACTACAATGGCTTGGGATCACTTTCATGGTACTTGGATACTGAGTATAATCTGAAAACCTACGAATTTACTGTAAGGACATACAAGTCAAGCAAGTGGTAAGCGAATGTACATACATTATATATATACCTAAAAATAATTGCTGTATTGTGAAAACTAAAAAATATATCACTCATGAGTTTTTTCGTTAAGTTCGTATTCTTAGGGATAGTATTCATAGCATTTAATTTTCAAATGCACCGAAAAGTGTTGAAGAAGGGTTTGGTTCTTAGTGAAGTTCTAAAATTTGTTTCTATGCGAGCTAATTGTTGAAAACAATGTTTCAGCATTAACACAAAAAGTTTAATATTGTAAGAACGCTCGATAACATTCGTTTGTTAAACTGCTAACACTAATTTATATATTTTACGAAGTCTCTTCAGGTGGAACGTCTGTATTAAATTCATCAGTCGAAAATATTAATTATTTACTGACTTGATTGCCTTCGCCTTTACGATTCAGGTTATTGTTATCAATCTCGGAAAATCGGCGATTTGCTAACAGTTTAGAGTCACGCATAACTGAAATCCGATTTGAGAGCCGCCTTTGAATATTCATGTTGTTACTGCGTTGTTTCATGCAATTTATTGTACGTAATACGTATGCAGCTTTAGATCTCGTAATTAATATTACATTTGTGTTGAAAGTCAGCAAACCGACAGATGGTTTTCTGTTTAAATATTGTGTGAATTATAAAAGGAAATACAATGAATAGTCAATGTGAGTCACACACTGTCAGATGCAGCCGTAGTAAAAAAAATTCAGCTTAACATACGTGTTCACTTGTGCATTTCTTTTTATATTCTTGCAAGTACCAAAGTCAGTGTTTTTCATTAAAATGTGTGTATAATATACCTATAAAGCTATGCTAATCTGATAACAACGATTCTGTGTACCAAGTAAGTACACTGTAAACACGTTATTTCTAACAAATTGCATGATGCAGTACCTAGCCCCTTTATAAAAATAGGCCTCATAAAAACGGAGAAAGTTTTTTAATACAAAGGAACTTGTTAAAGGTAGGAGCAACCCTTTGTTTTAATTTATTCATTTATTTACAATCCTAACAATGATTAGTTGCGTATTTTTATACAGAGTTTATACTGTAATAAAACTTCTATAAATAGAAAGTGAAGAGCTATTCTGGACCGGTGGCGCGGCTTTTTGAATTATGTAAATAGCTTAATGAAATTTATAACAAGGTGCGATAACTTCGTACAGTTTTGTGGTTAAAAGTTTGTGATTTTTAGATCGATTCCCGAGCCTAGTAAAGTCTACCTTAATAGTAGGTGCTGCCTGTGGCCTGCGACTGATTCCGCTCAATCTGTTTTAAAAAAATATATTGTATACACCCCTCCTCATCGTTTTTTGATATTCACAATAACCAATATCATACTCACATACACACTGTCGACATTATAATTTTGTAAACTCTCTAGTACAACCATACACCTACTCTCATAGGTTTTACATACAAACGCACTTGTAAATAGCAATAAAAAATTCTATAAATCGACAATGATCCGCTGTAACCATATCATACACTGCGTAACGTTCCGTGATAGTCAATATTCGCAATATTCGCAATATTCGCGATATTCATATAGAGTAAAACATCTCCAACTTACTTACCACCTACTTAGTATTCCTCCATCGAATAGTGTTGGTTTTGTTAGCGCTAACACAATGTTCTCTTTATAAAGTTTCCCCTACTTTTATGTGGATTCCTCCCACACAGAAAACTTCATTTTTGACAATACGAAACGTGTTATGCATAGATATCTGTGAGGTATGATACAATGGATCATCTCGGAGAGATTCTGATTAAGTTATAAAGTCGTCGACGTATAATGTTGTAAACGAAAAGTGTAACTAAAATAGTTTTTTGAGTGACGTTTGCGCTTGCGGTTATGAATTGAATCCATTCATATAGAATCACAGAGACATTTCATAAAGAACAATGTTTACGACATTATAAAATCAATCTTTTCCATTCCCAAAGGTAATATTAATGCAAACACTGAATACACAGTACACACCTTAATGGATCTCTGTATAGAAGAACCATTAATTTTATTATTTGGGGGAACATGACGGAGCATAAAACCCTTTCCCAGCCGACGCCTATTAATGTAATGAAATCAAACGATGCTCGCTGATTTCGTTATTCAACCGAAATGTTTTTTGTGTTGTTGTTACCATTTAATTGTCGACGTTCATGGTTACGTCTGAGTGTACGGTTTATTAGCTTTACGGTGTGTTTGTTTGAGCCAGTTGCCTAAAAGTTTTTCTTTTTCTGGTCACCTATTTTATGCTTATTATTTTATTAAGTTAGGTGGGGTAAGTCGTTTAACAGGATACAAAGCTATAACATGCCCTTATCTTTTAAATTTTAATAGTCACATTTGTGTCACCTATGCATACATGTTTAGAGAATAGGGTATTATCCTAAATTTTATTTTAATCGCTGTCTGGTAGATTTATTTAACACTTTAGACACGTATTTTTTTTTCACAAAACCATGTAGGTACTTTAGACGATATATTAATTTGAAATATCGTGTGACGTCACAGCGTGCCACATGTTGTAGCACTTTATGACGTAACAACCTCCCACTCCTAACCTTTGCGCCATTTCATCTTAGTATTGCAACTTAATACGAGAAAATAAAAAAATACGTGTCTAGTATTTTTTCATTCTCTAATTGACGGACTAATTAAATTTTTAATTTTGATACCCTGGAAACTACCCAATTAAAATAATAATGTCTCTTCTGTGCTTTTTTAGTTAAGTATTGATCCCATATTAAGCTACATACTATAAAAAACTGCGATACTAATTTGGGAATGGGTCGTCGACTCTTCTATTCCGAACCTGTTCAAATATTAAAGCCTACTTGACTCAATACTCAGGCCTATGCTAATAATTGAAAATAAAATCACTTATAGATACCTTGCAGATTGATATACCGAATTAGTTATTTACACAATTGTTTAATGATTATGTTCTGTAGATTTTGCCTGTTATTAATGGTAGAGGTCAATAGTGAAGTACCATATTAGTAAAACGAAAATCACAAGACTTAGACTTAAGAGAGGTCGGATTACTAAAAATAGATTTTTGTAAAAATAACAGAATTATAAATGGAATGAGGGCAGAGGTCGGAAGAGGACATTACGCTTGTAAAATAAACAAAATAACTTTCCTTAAAAGATACGTATAATCTTATCTATCAGGCAAATCTTATAATATCTACGTAATAATTTAACATACATATATAACCTCACGCCTGTCTCCCATGGGGGCAGGCAGAGACAATGGAACTAACTAATAATTTAACTTATTTATAATTAAGTTATGAGAACACATTTAACCATGTTTTCTTTATTAAGTCGGCTCCCTTCTCTCCAATCATAATAGCAGGTGCAGCGGTATGTGCATTCGTTGGTCGTGGAATCACACTGCTGTCCACCACTCTCAGTCCATCCACACCGTACACCCTCAATTCTGGGTCTACCACAGCATAGGGGTCACTCAAAGGACCCATTCTACACGTTGCGATTTGATGGTGGAGTGTTATTACCATGGATCTAATTGCACATTCCCAGTACGGGTCTGATCCAGGAACAAAGTTTTTACAAGCTGGATACTCACCTAAGAACAATTTAGGATTATACTTAGCAAAAGCTGACGACTGGCCCAACCGAATAACATGCTTAATGGCTTCTAACATGGTTGCCATATCCTGTGGCTCAGTCAAGTAGTTACCGTACAATTTTGGATGGGAAAATGGGTTAGAATCTCTAAGCTCAAGATAACCCTTTGACTTTGGATGTGTTAACATAATGACGGCTGACCACGTATCTTTCCCATATAAAGATCCATAGATGGAGTCAAAAATTGGCTTAGAAAGTCTCCAGCTTTCCCTTAGTGCACCACCGGAATCTATGTTAAGAGAGCCGGCCATACTTATCAATTCTATATCAGGAACGTTTTCCGGGTCTTGCGACACAGATGTCTTTAAATAGCCGATACCCTCAATTCCACCGGCTGTGGTTAACAGTCCCTCTCCAAATTGTAACCACTGTATAAGGTTTGAAAATGTTGCGACTTTAGGCTCCAACAAGCTAGCGTTAGTTGTGTTTAGTTTGAAAATAACTCCAGGGAATGCTATATGATCGTAAAGAACCCTTCCAACTTGTAAATTTACAAGCACAGGGATTCCCAGCGACTTTAAGTGTTCCGCCGGTCCTATTCCTGAGAGCATGAGCAATTGCGGTGAGGCTATTGGACCGGCGGATAAAATTATTTCGCGTCGGCAGCGAACTATACGCTTCACGCCGTCCTTCACGTACTCTACAGCGTATGCTCTTTTAGATTGAGGGTCGATGATGACTTTGGTGGCTCGAGCGTCAGTGAGGATGTGCAGGTTACGTCGTCGCTTGTGAGGGTGCAGGAATGCCTTGGCAGCGCTCATTCGATGTCCTTTTATTTGTGTGGCTTGCACGTAACCAAAACCGACTTGATCTGGCGCATTGTAATCAACGGTAGGGTGTCCGTTTTCTCGTCCAGCAGCGAGGAAAGCCTCAACAAGACCAGTCCTGTGAACGAAACATCACGTCAGACGGGAACTTTAAAATCTCACAAGTCTTAGTTTTAATTAAGGAACTTTGAATAGTTGAAATTAATAACAGTTGGTAACTTACTTGAATGAAATATTCTCGACTGTTAGCTCTCCGTCACGGCCCCGGTATGGTAAGTTCTTATATTTCTTTATTTCAGATTTTTCAGATTTTATATAATACTTTAGAACTTCATCGTAGTTCCTACGGAAAAAGAAGTTTAATTACATTACTATCTTACCATAACTCAGACAAACTTTGGGGTGCTATGTGATATTTAAAAAAATGTGTCCACATAAATTCGTTCTAACGATAATCTTCAAATGAATTACAACCTCTACTAAATTGAGCTAAAACATCTTTGATAGCCTTCACTATACTTAATTATTAAAGTCTTTAAAATATTGATAGCCATGTTACAAAAAACATAATAATATTAATTAAAACACAATTTTACTTGGCATTTAAATTGCAGGAAAAAGCAAAAGTGGCCATCAATAATTCAAATGAGTTGAATTAAATATTCATTTGATTCGCTGATATTCGATTAGAAGTTGAAAATCTCGGTGTTAAAACAGGGAGAAGTTTTACCTTATTAATAGGGTAAACCAACGATTGATTAAACTATAAAGTTATTGGGGACAAAAGGATCTGGGCACCGTATTTAATATTTAATGATACAGAATAGGTTCTGGGTATCAGAGATAAGGTTTCAAGTAGGTATACCTACTAATATTTTAAAACCTCACCACTGCAACGGGTTATATTCGGAACCTGAGCTCAGAAGTCATTACCCTTTGGGCTAACGGGGTGAATACGGCCGATATTTTAGTTGTATTGTATGTATTTTGTATATGTTTTTAACGATTTCAATATTTTCTTCACACTCCATACCGAATAATAAATTAGTGTGCATAGTAGAATAGTAGTAATACAATAGATTTATCGCAATTAGTTACGTAGTACTCAGAACATATTTGACAAAAATTGGTGGTAAATGTATCTGAACAAGTCACGACTGACAGTACTGAAACATGTGTAGCTACATTCATTAAGTCTACTTAATCCTTTACTTATGTTTAGATTTTTTTTTAAAACGTTGCCCCACATTAGGATTTTCTCCTGTGTCGTGGGTACCTTTACAAACATACAAGTTCACATACAACATCAGACCCAGACCCGAAACAACAATTTGTGGATCACACAAAGTGTTGTTCCGTGCGGGAATCGAACCCGCGACACGTTGCACGGCAGCGGGTTGCCCAGCCACCGCACCAACCGTGCAGTCAAAAGATTGTTTGGGTCCTCAGAAAGTATATTTGTGAATATCTTACCATCCATAGTTTCCATCGGCAGCGATCCTATCCCAATCCTGTGGACGGCCCCTGGTGTATAACATGTAGTTGATTACACTAGTACCTCCCAGCGCCTTTCCTCGAGGCCAAAAACAACGCTGATCTTTGCTGGCTGGAATTATAATGAGATACATTATGTACCAAGAATTGACAATGTATGTTTTTGCTTTACAGAAACATTTTGTTGTATTTTTGAACTTATTAGGATGTTTTTGTAGTTACCGAGTCGGCAGGATAAAAAAAACGTCCTTTGGAGTGCGTATTTATTTAATTACTCCAAAACTTATGCAAATTATTCTATCTAGATATTTAAGTAGACTAGGTAAATATAGTTTAGTGGTTCACGATGAGTATAGCGTTTGAAAGAGAGCTGATTGTAGGCAATTTTCGTCACACAGTTATGTCCAATAGCGGATCACTTTATTGACATTCACTGAGTACACATATCTAGTGCTCACTACAACTGTATTTTCTGTTGGTTTGAGTATAAAAATGAACCGTAAGAGCATTTTGTTTCTGTGACCGTGTAAAGTATTAGCATGATATAAAATACGCTAATACTTTTTATTATATATTAACACTTATTTAGTATATTTATATCCCAGTATCATGTTTATTTGATTAAGTTTTTAACAGTCCTACGCATGAATCACGTAACCTGTCCTTCGTTGAGGACACTGAACTCAGTTTACGTAAAAATAGCGAAAGTTAATAAACCTAATGGCTAAATTCGTCGCTAATATTAATCTTTATTTTAATTGATTCAAAGCCAATGTTCTAAATGACAAGTTTTCTTTTTTATTTAGTTTTTTGTTTTATGTAATACATGTTATGATACGTATGTTCGTCTTTTTATATCTCAAATTTAAATTCATATTAAAAGTGCCCAAATTACCAAACCACATTTGAATACTGAAAATGAAAAAATATTAAAGGGATGGTCATCGCTACTTTTACCCATCCGATGATCTACGTTATTAACCTTATCATTCTTATCTTTAGACTTTAAATGAAAGACACTGTTTTTAGGAAGTGGTTAAATACATAATTATTGCATTGTATTCGATTGTAAACCAGTTTCTCTCCCGTAGTAGTATTAAGGCAATTAACATAATTCTTAGGCTCTATACTTCGTTAAGAAATACAATATAACTGTGTAAACATGTCAACATAACGACACTAAAGCGACTTCCTCATTCCGCGTCATTTATGGAGAATTATCCTTTTTAAATGGTGACTTATTGTGACTAAGTCCTATGTAAATTGTAAATATTGATTTAAGAAAATGCTACGCATCGTCTAATGATCAAAGGCACGACCATTTATCGCCGGATTCTGCATACGTTTCCTGAGATATATAGATTTCGACTAACTATCTGCAAGTAGTGTAAGGTAAGCCCAACTCCTATTACACAGAATTGGTGACATAACTGGCGTAAAGTGGGTATAACAATTAATATTATACCTTCGTCTGCCCCTTCGCCCTCAGGACATTGTATAGTGTTATGATAAATTCACTCACCTAAACAAATTCCTGGTTGATGTTCCATCGTATAAGGCCACACAAAGTCATCGAGTTGTACAACAGACAGTAGGGCAGGTACATCAGACAGGAGACTCTCAGGTCTTCCAGCTTCGATCACCAACACCATGACTTTTGGTTTGTCTTCTGTCAGCCTCGCAGCTAATACGGACCCAGCCGTTCCTCCTCCCACGATCACATAGTCATACTCATCCAGTGGACTGCTATATCCTGGAAAAGTGGACGTAAATATGTTCAGGGTTATATTATAACTATGAAACTATCACTAAAATAAACAAAAATGTTCTTAACAGTGCCGTTTCTATGTATGGTAAGTGTCCTTTGCGGGCTGTTGAAATAGTTTTAGAAGAGAATATCTAGAACTATAACGGTCTATATATAGATCGTCTATCTTTCATTCATAGCCTACTTATAGGTTACTGTTCTTATAGCCGCAAATATTTGCTACACTAGACTGACTCCCAATGGAATAAAATATTATTTAGGTAAGTACGTATCTATTTTTAGATTCTGTCACAGACGCATTAATGTTTTATATTAAAAGCTTTACTTATAAAAAAACGTGGCAATGGCTGAGAACTCAGAAAGGGATTTCTTTAAGTGTCAAGTTTCTGTCACAACCTTCAAGTAAACAATAATATAATTAAAACTTTGGATCCGAATGCGAGAATAAAATGACGAGAACAATAAGATACGACACTCGATAATAACTTTGCATTACAGATTTAGGTTCTAAAATTATCTGATTACATTATAATGGAATTTAGTTTTTTTAATAGTAAAAATGTGACTCGTGTGTTACCTTTGGGTAATGGGTATGTATCTCTTAAGAAATCTAAAGGGTCCTTGGCATTATTTTGCGGGTGTTGTGAGACAAACTGCATCATCGTGTCTACGACCATATTTTTTGATTTTGGTGACAAATGTAAGAAACGCCTTTGACGTTCACTGACTGCTCCTCGTACCATTTCTTCTATGTCCCTAAAAGAGTCTGAGTCTCTGGCACTGCCCGTATTGTTTTGCTTCAGTGGGTAGGGCCATAGTATTCTGCCTCCTCTGTAATCTGTATCATCTTCTACTGTGGCAAACTCGTCATCTTCCTCATAATTGTAGGCGCTTATTATTAATGGTGCTAATATTAAGACCAAAATGTATGTGTATTTTAATCTCATTGTGCCTGTAAAGTTAAAAAGTGAACGATTAGGTAAAAAGTTTAAATGAAAATATAATCTATGTATACATATAGAGCTCTGGCTATGTATGTATAATACGCAGTGGCGATTGATATTTACGTGGTATTAAACTTACAAAGTTAGGTACAATATAATTGCGCATCAAATATATAAAAATCCAAAGCGAAACGTAAAAATAAAAGTAAACAAGCACAGTCAATGGAAACTGGTTTGTTTGTTTTAATGATATTCAAACGAAAGTGAAAAAGTAACATCACAATTTGCATAGAACTGTGATAAAGTTACGTTACGTTATTATTGTATAGATACGATTTGAATTTTATAAGGTATTTATATACCTCATGCTTGTCCTGTATATTTCTAATTGACAATTAATAATGATTTCTTTAAATATAGTTATGACGCGAATTTCTTTAAATATAGTTATACACGAAACCATTAGTAAACATATACCTATGACAAATAACCGTCCTAAATCTTATCCTGTATGGTATTCACCGCAATTAATTAAACTACTTAAAATGAAGTTTAAATATCATGAAAGATTTAAAAAATATGGAAATCCATTGGACAAATTAGAATTTGATTATTTAAGGGCTGATACCAGCCGAATGATAAAAGAATGTTACAAAAAGTACATAGTCGCAATAGAATCCGATCTAAAGAAAAATCCAAAGTTCTTCTGGACTCATATTAAAAATTTAAGAAAAAACTGTTCATCCTATCCCAGTACTATGACACTGAATAACATTGTGAATTCGGACACACATCGAATTCCAGACATGTTTGCCACCCACTTTTCTTCGGTTTATGAGGCAGGCGGCAGTGATCTTGATAATTATACGATTGATCCTGCAGTTCACTTGAGCCCAAATATTCAAGATGTGCTCAACCCTCCTCACTTCAGCCCTGAAGATGTCAATAAGAAACTGAAGAAGATAGACATCACGAAAGGAGTGGGCCCTGACAACGTCCACCCTCTTTATCTGGCTAGGTGTGCAAATGGACTAACCCCGCCATTGTGCATGCTTTTTAATAGGTCTTTGGAGACGGGCGAGTTTCCTGATGCATGGAAGTTGGCAAGGGTGGTACCCGTATACAAAAATGGCAAAAGGGACCATGTTTCGAATTATCGGCCAATTGCTATAATTTCCACAATCGCTAAGATTTTTGAGTCTATGGTACACGCTGTCATTTATGCTCACACACAAAAATGTATAATTAATGAACAGCACGGCTTTATGACAAGGAGATCTACATGCACGAATTTGGTTCTCTTTGCCTCTGATTTAATGGAGTCCGTGGACAGGGGGACACAGGTAGATGCAGTCTACACAGACTTTTCAAAAGCGTTTGACAAGGTGAATCATAAATTATTATTGGACAAACTATACATGTTCGGTATAACTGACAACATCTTAGACTGGTGTCGATCCTACCTTACAAAACGTCCCATGGAGGTGGTGGTAGGGGGCGAGAAGTCGAAACCCTTTTTGGCGCTCTCGGGTGTTCCGCAGGGTTCTGTTCTGGGACCATTATTCTTTAACATTTTTATCAACGACCTGCCGGAGAGTATAAAGTATTCGAGGCTGTACCTTTTCGCTGACGATCTAAAACTGACCAAGGATATTAAATGTATGGAAGACTCAAAACTTCTACAGGAAGACGTTGGCTGCCTCCAAAATTGGTGTATTAATAATGGAATGTTCCTAAATGCTTCAAAATGTTACCATATAAAATTGACAAGGAAACGTAATAAATTTCACACTGGCTACACAATAAATGGTACTAGACTAAAGGAAGTAGACACGATAAAGGACCTGGGATTTACCGTTGATAGCCAGTTGCGCTTTTCAGATCATATTGATCGAATTATAAAAGAAGCAAACAAGTCATTAGGATTTATTCTTCGTAATACTAAAGACTTTAAAAAGTCCTCCTCAATCATTTTGCTCTATAATAGTTATGTAAGAAGCAAACTGGAGTACTGCAGCACGGTTTGGAACCCAGATTATAACATACATAAAAGCAGAATTGAACGAGTACAAAAGAAATTGATTCGCAGTCTGTCCTGCCGATTTCAGACACCAGGAACAGTTAAAACATATGCAGAAAAACTAAAGCATTTCCAACTGGAAACGCTTACCAGGCGCCGTTTGTGTCTCGACATGTCCTTCTTACATAAAGTAATAAACAATAAGATTGACAGTCCTATGCTGGTTGGCCAATTCACGTATAATGTGCCTTCAATAGGCTCACCCCCTATTACATGGGACTCATAACATAAATAGTGAAAAGTGGGTGTTACATTGTACAGTGGCATAAAGTGCCGAAATGTGCACCTCTGCCTACCCCTTCGGGGATAAAAAGGCGTGATGTTATGTTATGTGTGTGCCTTCGAGAATACCGAGATACCCATGCAAACTGTTTAAAATCAAATTCTGTAGAACAAGAATGGGTCGCAATTCGCCGGTTGTTCGTTTGGCTCGTCTGTACAATGACCTGACAAGTACATTGCCAGGGATTGATATTCACCTTCAGCGCCTCCCTAAGTTCTTGAGAATGATCAGAGAGAGTGACGTACCTTAGCTTGTGGTTGACATTTCCTACTGGTTTTATGTTTTCTTTTTATTTTCCTTTGCCAAATTTTAATTTTTTTTTTCTCGACAAAATGTTTTTAATTTTTATTTTTAATTTTAATTTTATTTTGTACTAAATTTTTATTAATTTTTATTATCTCTTTTATAATAATATAAGTTAAAAAGCTATATGCATGCTGTGGTTACCTATAATTGTGAATACAGATAGTCTTAAGGTATTTTATAAGTCAAAAATATTTTCATTGTGCAATATTGCTGTATTTATGTCGGTGATCCTATAAATAAATAAATAAATAAATAAATGATGAAAAATCTGGATATAATATTAATAACAAAACGTTTCACATGTTACGTTTACCGTTGTTAGGTGCATAAAAACATAATTAACGTAAAAAGACACGTTTTATTTCTCATAACAAGTATAACGGTCATTTCTTGACAGTTATCTATAATTGTATAACAGAGGGGTTTTAATTTAGTATAATTTTATACCAAATATATTTTAATTTCGTTTAAATAAATGGCTTATTAAGTTTAGATATAAGGGATTTGACCGCGAAGATTATATATTCTTATTCTACTGATATTTTAGCTTCCTTACTTGAAAGAGAAATCATTTGACAAAAAATCATCAAGGTGTGAACTCTAGTTGAACGAAGGTATAGAAAAATCAATGTTGACATTCGACAAATTATGACTATAGATTAATTTTTCTGACCCGAACGTACGGCGCGTCGCGATATACGTGCGCTTCTAAGAGCCATCAGATCACCATAGATCAATAAGGTTGATGCTTCGGCTCGAAGAGCAGAAGTAGGAACGGGGTGGTTTTTAGTAAGTAAGAGTTTGACACTCTCTCTTGCAGGCAAGCAGGGGAAAACCATCATTGGGTCCTGATCCAAAAAAAGCTTAAATTTTCTATGCAATCGATCGACTAGCGTTTTTACTATTAATTAGCTATTTGTCTAGAAAGGCCGATGTCCCGTTTAGTTTGGCGTGCATTGACATCACATGGTCGGTTAAAAGGACAAATCAAAGAATCTATGTATTGTTACGCATTCTGAATAATGATTATAACTGTACCGATATGTGTTGATTTAATAATGGTGTGAGAGTATTATAGTTCATGAAATATTGTGAATTAACTAACATCACACCCGTTACTTCTCAAAGTGAACAGAGGTGTAATCAGGTGTATCTACATATTTATATGCCTGTAGCGTAAGTATAATATTACTATAGAGTTATTTGTAAGTTCTTTTTGATAATATTGATCAATAAATAAAATAGTTATCGTAGATTAATAGTCGTTGTTAATTGACTGGAAGAATAATAACATAACATCACGCCTTTTACCCCCGAAGGGGTAGGCAGAGGTGCACACTATGCCGCTGTACAATGTAACACCCACTTTTCACTATTTATGTTATGATGATGTAATAGGGGGTGAGCCTATGGCCATATACCGGGCACAATTCCAGACTCCGTGCTACTACTGAAATTTTTTTTTAAAAAAACCCTGTAATACCTTCGGGGAGTATAAGGCGTGATGTTATGTTATGTTATGTAAAAATTTCAGTTCAAGTAAAACTACTTATAGCTTTCATTTAATTAAACCGATATAATTGGATACGTATGTACAATTGTATATAGTTCGGTTTGTGAACTTGGTAAGAGCTTTATTGAGACACACTTACAAAGTTAAACGACGCGTTTTAATATATTCGTGAAATTAGCATTTTAATAATTACAGCTAAAAGAATCTAAAACATTTATAAACGTTAATTTTTATTTAATAACCTATAATAAATAAATAGATATTTTATTTAAAAACACATCACATTGACAATAGATCACGGCTATATGCGTAATAAGGAAATAATTATATAAGCGGAAATATTGATATTAAATAAATTTAAATGATTCACTCACCTTTGAAAACTTATAAAAAAAACTTGTAAAATTATTAAATTCCGTGTTGTTCAATGTTATTTGACACGTCCCGCCACTGCAGTGGATGGTCGAGGAATGATTGTGGAGCAGTCCTCGAAGGAGAAAGAATAAGACGTATGCGTATGCGCACAGCGCGCCTTGACCGCGCACTTGAATTTACCGCTAGTTTGACATAATGACCAATATCAACAACAACTCAGGCATTTACCCGATCCTTGAGATACGAACGACGTACTTGACTTAGCTGGCAGCTTTTAATAAACTGTTATTGAAATAAAAAAAATAATATATCAATGCATATTGAGGTATTTATGTCCCTAAAACTATAAATGTCTTATTATATTGATTTATTATTTATTTATTGCCGGTGTGCCAGCTGTTCTGGAACCAAAGGGTTCGGCACGCGACGATGGTAAGAGACCCGACGGTAT